GCAAAATACTTCTTGGGCAACCCCAAATTTCATGGCGATGCCACTGGGGGACTGTCCCAAAGAACCCTGACAACAGTCCCACCTGGCCCAAAGCACAGTTTGGCTGTACCAGGCTGCCAGCTAACAACCCCCATGCCCACTCTACTAAGTGTAATGGTTTGAATAAGGAACTGGCTTTCAGGCTGAGATTATGGCTAGAAATTCTGCTTGGGCCACCCATCAGAATACCTCTGTGCCACTGGGGGACTGTCCTGGACATCTGTGACTGCAGACCTGCTCGGCCCAAAGTGCGGTTTTGCCATGCCAGGCTGCCACCAGACAGCACCCCAGTCACTGTACTAACTGTATGCACCTAAATAAGGAACTGGATTTTGGGCTGGGATTATACCCAGAAATCCTTCTAGGTCCACCCCAGACCACATCTATGTGGCACCGGGGGACACTCCTAGACATCTCTGACCAGAGACTTGCCTGGCCCAAAACGCGGTTTGGCCATGCCAGGGTGCCAACTAACAGCACCCCAGCCACTGTGCTAAATTAATGGATCTGAATAAGGAATTGGATTTTGGGCTGGCATTATAGCTAGAAATCCTTCTTGGGCCACCCCAGACAATGTCTCTGCTACTGGGAGATGCTTCTGGGCATCTTTAACCAGGGATTTGCCCAGCCCAAAACACGGTTTGGCCGTGCCAGGCTGCCAACAGACAACACCCAAGCCGCTGTGCTAAGTATCTGGACCTAAATAAGGAACTGGATTTGGGGCTGGGATTATACCCCAAAATCCTTCTTGAGCCACCCCAGACCATGTCCCTGTGCCACTGGGGCACTCTCCTGGACATCTCTGAACAGAGACTTACCTGGCCCAAAACGCAGTTTATCCATGCCATGCTGCCAACTGTCTCTACCCCCCAGACACTGTGCTAAGTAGATGGAACTGAATAAGGAACTGTTTTCTGGGCTGGGATTAGAGATGGAAGTCCTTGTTGGGTCACCCCACTCTGTGGCACTGGGCGATTCTCCTAGGCATTCCCGAGCAGAGTACTGTCCGGCCCAAAGCACAGTCTGCCACATTGTCA